GAGGTTGTGGTTGGCATTGGATTTCTGGAGCCGACTGACGTCAATCAGATCCGGTCTGAAAAACACACACAGCGGCTCAGACACCGCTGCCCACACACACACACACACACCCACACACACACACACACACACACCACACACACACACCGCACACACACACCACACACACACACACACACCGCACACCACACACACCGCACACACACACCACACACACCACACACACACACACACACACACACACACACACACCACACACACACACACAGACCGCACACACACACACACACACACTCCACACACACACACCACACACACCCTCCACACACACACTCCACACACACCACACACACACACCGCACACCACACACACACCGCACACACACACACTCCACACACACCACACACCACACACACACCGCACACACACACACTCCACACACACCGCACACACACCACACACACACCCTCCACACACACACTCCACACACACCACACACACCCTACACACACCCACACACACACACCCCACTCACACCCACACCCCCCCCCCACCACCACACACACCCCCACACACACACCCTCCACTTAACCCCCCCACACACACATCCCTCACACACACACCCCCTCCACACCCTCTCCCCACCCCACACACACACCCCCACACACACCCCCTCCACTTACCCCCCCCACACACACATCCCTCACACACACCCCCCCGGGGGGTTTGGAGGACAGGGTTTAAGGGGTGTCTGAAGGCACCGTCGAAAGGGGGATTGTCCGGAACCAGTTCTGTGAGTGCGTTCGGGAAATTTCCGCAGTTTTCTGATCGCCCACTCTCTCCCGCTCCAAGGACACACATTTCTGAGCGCACACACACACACGCACACGTACAGGCACACACGCACAGACACACACACGCGCACACACAGACACGCGCACACAGGCACGCACACACACAGACACGCTCACACACACACACAGACACGCACACGCACAGAGGCGCGCACACACAGACACGCACACACAGACACGCGCACACACAGAGACACACACACACACAAAGACTAGCGCACACACACGGACACACCAAGACACACACGGAGACACTCGAGCTTTGAGAAGTTTATAGAGTTATAAATTCTGCGTCGAAAACAAAATAAATCTTATTCTTCCTCTCCAGCCCTCACACTCTCTCTCTCTGTCACTCTCTCTCATTCTCTGTCGCTCTCTCTCACACACTCTCCAGCCCTCGCACTCTCTCTCTCTGTCACTCTCTCTCACTCTCTCTCACTCTCTCTCGCTCTCTCTCACACACGCTCTGGTCCTCGCACTCTCTCTCAATCTCTCTCACTCTCTCGCTCTCTCTCTCGCTCGCTCTCTCACTCTCTCGCCCTCGTACTCTCTCACTCTCTCACACACTGTCTGGCCCTCGCACTCTCTCTCACTCTCTCTCGCTCTCTCTCACACACTCTCCAGCCCTCGCACTCTCTCTCACTCTCTCTCGCTCTCTCTCACACACTCTGGCCCTCGCACTCTCTCTCACTCTCTCTCGCTCTCTCTCACACACTCTCCAGCCCTCGCACACTCTCTCACTCTCTCTCGCTCTCTCACACACTCTCCAGCCCTCGCACTCTCTCTCACTCTCTCTCGCTCTCTCTCACACACTCTCCAGCCCTCGCACTCTCTCTCACTCTCTCTCGCTCTCTCTCACACACTCTCCAGCCCTCGCACACTCTCTCACTCTCTCTCGCTCTCTCACACACTCTCCAGCCCTCGCACTCTCTCTCTCACTCTCTCTCGCTCTCTCTCGCTCTCTCTCACACACTCTCCAGCCCTCGCACACTCTCTCTCTCACTCTCTCTCGCTCTCTCTCTCGCTCTCTCACACACTCTCCAGCCCTCGCACTCTCTCTCACTCTCTCACACACTCTCCAGCCCTCGTACTCTCTCTCGCTCTCTCTCGCTCTCTCTCACACACTCTCCAGCCCTCGCACACTCTCTCACTCTCTCTCACTCTCTCTCACTCTCTCACACACTCTCCAGCCCTCGTACTCTCTCTCACTCTCTCTCGCTCTCTCTCGCTCTCTCTCACATACTCTCCAGCCCTCGCACACTCTCTCTCTCACTCTCTCTCGCTCTCTCGCTCTCTCACACACTCTCTAGCCCTCGTACTCTCTCTCTCTCACTCTCTCTCGCTCTCTCGCTCTCTCACACACTCTCTAGCCCTCGTACTCTCTCTCACTCTCTCTCGCTCTCTCACACACTCTCCAGCCCTCGCACACTCTCTCTCTCACTCTCTCTCGCTCTCTCTCGCTCTCTCACACACTCTCCAGCCCTCGCACACTCTCTCTCACTCTCTCTCGCTCTCTCGCTCTCTCTCTCGCTCTCTCACACACTCTCCAGCCCTCGTACTCTCTCTCACTCTCTCTCGCTCTCTCTCGCTCTCTCTCGCTCTCTCACACACTCTCCAGCCCTCGTACTCTCTCTCACTCTCTCTC